TAAGTCGATTATGTTTCTAAGGCTCACCTCTCACAAATGCTTTCACATCATCCTTAGTCAAAGTTTCTGAGCAGCTAACTACAAAAGCTTTCGGAAGTTCTTCCCCCTCCGCATTGCAAACTCCAATCACGGCGGCATCATGGATTAACGGATGGCGCAATAAGAGATCTTCCAACTCAGCGGGAGGCACCTCAAAGCATTGGTGTAAACGCACACTTAAACTACGCAGTGACGAAAGCTCACCTGGAATCCTTTGACTTTGATGAGCTCTTTCAAACGGTCAACGATAAATAAATACCCGTCATTATCCACAAATCCCAGATCACCTGGAAACGCAGTGAGTATGTATGGCTTAGCTGAATTATTATGGTATTTGAGATTGAACTTTTTGAGATTTGCTAAGAAAACCACTTGTTAAGTAATTCCGCTCCAAATCTCTCTCTTTGGATATGTTTATTATGCAATCTTTGATAACGAAGCTAAAGTACTTGTCCAAAATTATAAATTGTAGAATTGTCATAAGATATAAACTTGCACTCACTGGCAAAAGTTCGCAAAATTTTGGTCATCAGAAGGCGAGGCTTTAATTAGTCTAGTCACGAAAGATAATATAGAAGAGGCCAAAACTCAGCAGCGAAAATGTGTACATTGTTTTGGAAGGCGGACTCGACCAAACGGCGCTGAGCCTCAAAGAAAGAAATACCTAAAGGAGCGGACAAAGCATCGGAAAGCTGAACTCGCGCGCGTGTGCAGATAACGAGGAAACCAATCAAAATTTGAAAGGAATCGGCACCATGAATCATCTGTCAAGTGAAGCCATGCACGTTTCAGGCGGTAGCATCTATTAGCTACAAATATGCTTCTACAATGGACAATCATGATCAACACAAAGAATAAGTTTTCTCTTCCATAATAAAATAAAGATCTGCGTGGTACTAGGTTGAAACTAGGTTGAAATGATATTCTCGGCGGCTTTGCGAAAGAATTGCAACAAATAGCGGATTTACTTAACTGCAGTAAGACAGAATATGGAGAACTGGACCAGCCAGTTTGAAGGAGATGTGATTTTAACCACGTTGTCCAAACCATAATATGAGTTCGAAGACATTAAACGGAATGTTCGGCACTAGGTGTTGATACGATGCCTCACAAGATTATACAGAGTGCCCAAAGAAGTGCATATTGTTCGAAAACTCACGTTAATAACTTACTCGCCTTGATGTCTCAACCCGATTTTCAGCTTCTGTACAGCTGGTTTTAGCTTACGATTAGAGTTGCATCCCAGACCGAATCATGGGTTGCTTTTATTACTGTGGGGTTAGGGTAGGAACTTCGAGAAGGATCAAAGGCCATCAAGAGCCATATTTGCCTCAGAATAATAAGCTGAACAAGCCAAAAACCCTTTCATTGTTCTAATCAACGCTGATTTTAGTTACAAACATTGCACTTCAGCCAGTATATCGTGACAATTATTTTTCCAATGCTCGCCAGAAATGTGACTACACCATTGAAAAGCTCAAAAAACTCGAAACATTGTCTAGTGAAATCAGCACGCATAGAAACTCTGCTACACAATTTTCCTATTTTTGAAAAAAGCCAGACAGCCTAGTTTATAATGGTTTTGTATGCTAGACGTTCCTACAGTATCCTACCGTAGCAAAAAGTGATCGATAACGCGTTCTATACTGTAAATCTAAGTTAAGTCAGCTTTACAGAATGGTACATTAAAAAAGACGTAAGACACCGAAGCAGGAAAGATCAACGATCAAACAATGTGCATTTTTGGGATACCCTGTGTAGTGAAAACACTGTGAACATTATAATAGAAGATAATCCACTATATCAACCTACAAAGATGCTACCTCATGTATAAGGCTGAGCGCCTGCATGCATGTATGTGTTTGCATGTGCTAGTTGGATGATTGCATTTTTGAAAAATCCGGGTCAATGTAATCTAATTTCACGAGTACAAGATGCGCCTGATTTTTTTTTTAACTCGACCAGCCTGAACACGTCAGACTATTTTGCGATCATTGGACCTTATACCGTGCTGCGTATTGCCTGGAGGTATCGTGCGGCGCAAATTTCTGCTTCCGAAACACAAACGCGGACGAGGGCTCGCTCGAAAAATTGAAAAATGTGCGTGTTGTACTCAAATGTTGAAATTAGGGTAAATTCTTGTATATACAGTGACCGCCAAAAAGTTGCGGACAAGTCTCCCTCCCTTTCTCATCGCTCTTTTTCAGAGGGCAAACAGGGATGAGAAAATGTAATAATTATATGGGTGATAGAGCTCTTCAAGATCTACAATCTACACTTTGAGTTTTTTGAGAAACATGTGTTCTAAAAATTTTAAGAACCTTTTTCTAAAAAAAGTCCGAAATTGGCCGCGTCACAATGTCGCGGACAATAATTCTTCGAACGCAAAAATTTTCTGTTAAGTCTTTTTTTAGAGCAAAAACAGAAGTTCGGACAGGTAAGCATACTACTATACAGAGCTCGTCAAGAACTACACACTGGTTATGGTTGCTTCCCCAAAAACGCAAGCTTGAGTTTTATTCTAGTTTTTTTTCAAAAAACAACTTCTTTTCCCTTATCAAGCCAAATTTCTTCACACGGAAACCTGTTCAAGACATCCCAACAAAGCCGTCTGGATAAAATAGATTCTCTTTGCCATCCTCTATGCATCGGACATGTGCTGATGAGTTTCTTGGCTGAAAATGGCCCTTGGCAGTGCTTGCACGTGACCCCACCTGCACCTCACCACTGACTTGTACCGCTTTGCAGGCTTGTAACTCGTCCTGCAGTCAACATTTGAGCCTGCAATTAGGCTCATTCGAAAGAACGAGACTTCCTCTACACGATGATATGCAAAAAGGTTCAGTTTGTGCAATCCCAGAGATTTGGCAGATGGGGTGGTAGAGGACAGCCTTAGAGGTGATTGGAGTGACGGCTCTTATAAACACCAGAACAGTCTTACAATTAGAGCTTCGAAATGGATCTATTACAAGAAAATTGACAGTTTTGAACTTTCAGGAACAAACTGGTAGCGAAAGGAGCTCTCTTCAACTTTAGCTGAAATGTGCTTAGACTACAACTGAAGCTGTCCTCAACCACCCCATCTGCCAAATCTCTGGGATTGCACAAACTGAACCTATTTGCATACCATCGTCTAGAGGAAGTCTCGTTCTTTCGAATGAGCCTACTTGCAGGCTCAAATATTGACTGCAGGCCGAGTTACAAGCCTGCAAAGCGGTACAAGTCAGTGGTGAGGTGCAGGTGGGGTCACGTGCAAGCACTGCCAAGGGCCATTTTCATCCAAGAAATTCATCAGCACACGTCCGATGCATGGCAAAGAGCATCTATTTTATCCAGACGGCTTTGTTAGCATGTCTTGAGCAGGTTTCCGTGTGAAGAAATTTGGCTTGATAAGGGAAAAGAAGTTGTTTTTTGAAAAAAACTAGAATAAAACTCAAGCTTGCGTTTTTGGGGAAGCAACCATAACCACTGTGTAGTTCTTGACGAGCTCTGTATAGTAGTATGCTTACCTGTCCGAATAACTTCTGTTTTTGCTCTAAAAAAAGACCTAACAGAAAATTTTTGCGTTCGAAGAATTATTGTCCGCGACATTGTGACGCGGCCAATTTCGGACTTTTTTTAGAGAAAGGTTCTTAAAATTTTTAGAACACATGTTTCTCAAAAAACTCAAAGTGTAGATTGTAGATCTTGAAGAGCTCTATCACCCCATGTAATTATTACATTTTCTCATCCTTGTTTGCCCTCTGAAAAAGAGCGATGAGAAAGGGAGGGAGGCTTGTCCGCAACTTTTTGGCGGTCACTGCATTACCAAAAAAATGCGGAAACAGCTACTTGGCAAAGGTATTTGGGTAGGAATAGCGCAGACTACATTCAGACCCCGACTTGAAATTAGAGGTCGGAATGAGTTATTCAGAAAGCAAAGCATTTGAAGTAGGCTTCATATTACGAATTTTCTCTGGAGCACGCTCACACTTTCTGCGAACAAGCTATATACTATACGATTGTGCTTCAACCCGCTCCTTCACAATCAGGAGACTATAACGCTATGATAATAATTTGTTACTGCATACAAATAATCATATGACACCCGAACTTATTTATATACCAGTGCGTCACCTCTGCTTCGCAGAGGCCCGCACTGGCCCTACTTTCTGTACGCCTTACTCATTCCCACATAATAATGACATTGAAACTCACCGCGCTATGCAGGCTATCACGAATGATTTGTAAACAATCACTCATTTCAAACGCTTTTCCATATGAGGTCGGTAATTTCGCGTGGATAAAACTTTTCCCAGAAGAACAAATGAAAATTTGATTTGGTCTTTGGACTTCTTATGACTTGATGTTTACCATAAGGTACAACAATCACCCTGGGCTTCAACGCTGTGCAAAATCCTCTCAAATGATCAGGTGAAATCTTAGCAAATCAACCATTCACGTAATCAATTCTTTTTGACGCCGTTTTCGCAAACTAATAAACTTAGTTCACTTATTTAGGCTCAAGTCCATGGCTTGCATATTAACTTGTCAAACAAATCAGTGGCTTTACAAAAAGTTGTGCTACAGGCTCAATTTTACTGGCCAAAAGCCAAGTGGATCCGATTCATGCGCATTTTTCGAGGCTCCACTCAAGGGATCCGCTCGTGCAATTGTATATTGGACTCTCATGTTGGCAGCATCCGCTGTGCAAAATTTGGGCTTAGAAGGTTGGCTGGAACTCGCTCTACGAATTTCGTGACAGACAGACGTACACACAGGCACACAGACAAACAGACGTAAACAACCCTTAGCCCGTTATTATTAAGTCATAGATTACTTATTGTAACATTATTATGTATAAGATTCTAAGAGACTAACTTAGCGATGTTTCAAATGAGCAGGCTTTGAAGAAGCCTTCAGCTTTAAGTCTTCATGGAGAATGTTTTTCTGAAGTATCTTAATTTGCGGATTTATATTGTCATCATCAACTTCTACATGCTTCAGCATGTTCAACTGTCAACAACCAATTATGGATAAAATGTCCATCAGCAAAAATTATCGCGTGCTTTACTCCTGCATCGAGCACTTAAAGTATTGCTCGGTATTCCTAATTTCTAATTTTAGCTACAAACGTGAAGATAGTACAAAAGGGTAGATTGACGCGGAAGATCATAGAGTTTCAGAAAACCACACTTTATTAAAAGCTAAATATAGCCCATGGTATCTTGATAGTTGCAATGGTAATGATAATTTCAAATTTGGAACTGTTAGTGTGTTGATTTCGCGCCCTTGACTATATTCATATGAAGGACTGATGAAAGGAGACCATAGTGATTTTTGCCATGTGAAATCAACAAGAAGCGAGACCGGTTATGGGAGCCGCTCTTATGCATTATCTAAAGCTTATATCGTAGTGATTCTCACCGGTGTACATGAATCCGTCTCTGATACACTCTTTTGTGGCTTCTGGCTTCCCAAAGTAACCAAGCATTACTGTGGGACCGCGTATGCAAATCTCTCCGATCTCTCCTCGTGCCTTCATAGTATTATCTTCTGGATCAACAATCTGAAATTTTGTGCTGGATTTATGAACAGGTGGTACACAAAAATGCGAACACCTTCATCTCCAAATTCGACGCAAGCTTTCCGACGCTTCCAACTGGCTGTCCCTGAGTAATGTCAGGTAGATGAGATCCCATGCCCAATTCGGACATACCATAGCCTAGAACATCGTGGAAATTTAGGTATGACTTAAGTCCACTAAATTGTAACAGTTATGGTTGAAGTAACTGGCCTTGCTGGATGTGCCTTATGTTTTTGTACTTTTTCTTGAGTCCCTCGCACAGATCCTTCCCAGCTGGTGCTGCCCCGCTGAAAATGAACTGCAGTGAAGAGAGGTCGTATCGTTCGCATATAGGATTTTTGACAAGGAACACCAGTATAGGAGGAACTACGGCTACGAATCGAATCTAAAGTGAAGAATGGAGAGAAGATTTTAGAAGATAGCTAATCCGTGCACGTACCTTGAATTTTTGTACAGACTCGCAAAATAATTGCGGATGAAAATGTGACATTACTACTGAAGTGCCACCTTTGAGAATGGATGACATCATCAGCGCTGTAATAGCTGCAGTAAAGGGCTGTGGTAATTTTTGAATTAATAAAAAATTCGCAAAAAAATGAGAACAATCAAGAGAAGCAAATTTGAAATTAAACTTACCAAACCCAAAGCAGTGGTAAAATGGCAAAAGTAGCAGTTCTCTGTCTTCCTCATAGCACCATGGTGGAGAAAGTCCTCCCAACATGCGCAACTCTTCATGTCTAGTAAGTAGACAATTATTTGACACAAATACTATTTATTAATATATAAAGTTACATATAGGGCATTCGTAAAATCGTGACGACATCGCTTGCGCGTCCAACAGCGTTACAAGAGCATACAACATTCGAACACTTCAACGCTCAGAACAATCACTTCATTGTCTACTTTTTTACATATACATGCAAAATTGCTTCGACAATAGAAGCAACTAAAAAAATGCGACTTCCAGAAATGTGTGTGGCCATCATTGTCACGATTTTATGGTGACCTATAGACACTTCACTTTCCTCTTACCTTCCATAAATACTCATAAGAGCAGAGTAGTTTTTATGGGTTAGCATCACTCCTTTCGGCGGGCCTGTAGTACCACTGAAATTTGTCTTGAAGTATGATGGTAAATAGAAGGATTGCAACTGGTTGATGATGACAAAGCGGAGAGCCTGCTGAGGTGATTTGTCATGTCCATAAAACAGTGATTTTACTTATGATACAAGCAGTATGAATTGACTGCTCCAAATTTAGATAAGAGAATTATGTCTTTTGCATACACAAACCGAACTAACATGTATGCAGCTTTAATGAGAGCTCTGAGAAGCATCAGCTGGTATTCCGTTCAATAGTATTTTCGAATTTTTCTGCGGATGCCTTTTCATTTGGATATAACGCAGCGCACGTCACACACGCAAGATTTTAGTAAGCACTATTTGATAGTCCTGCCCACGTGGATTATTGAACGCTACAAAATGGCAGGATGCTATTTGGAAGGCCTAGTAAATTCTGAAAAAATCATGTCTTCAGATTATACTCATCTAAACTCTAAAAAACGAAGCTATTTTGATAAACAGAAGAGTTTGAATTGGAGAGAAACTTTGCTCATAAAGGTTTTCAACTACGTATTTACGAAAATGAAAATTGTATTCTTTGTGGACTACAGGGTCTTTTTGCAGAGATATTGTGAATGCTTTCAAAATTTTTCGCGGGCTCATAACCCCTTGACAAACAGACTTTCAGCTTTATATGTGAGAAGATTGGGAGACTCATAACTTCTGCTTGATTAACATTGACAGATATGCTTCACAAACTTACTCAAGCGCGAACACTTACAAGTTTTTAGGGAGCCATTTTATCCGAAAACATACGCAAAATATAACTTGAAATGTCGGCAGTTCAGTTGCGGATTTTAAACGTTCAGTAACGTAGAAAGATTTTCTTCTCGATCTCATTTCTATTATCCTCTACAATGAAACACGTCTCACAGTGCGTGTGCACAATTTAGAATACCCTCTCCTCCTAGAGCACCTAGGAGGAGAGATGGTGTGCCGACATTGTCGGCACTTCCTTACAGTCGTATCTTTACTCTCATTGTCGGCACTTCCTTACAGTCGTATCTTTACTCTCACCGAAGTACCGTAAAGGTCATGCCATAAGCATGACCTGCTGTGATACCATTGAATTATCTTGCTCCACCTGTTATCGTTAGCATTCTACCACAGCACCCACGCGTGCTAGTCGACTGTTCATAAAGCTCTACAGCTAATGTGTTCTGTATAACAACACCAGGGGGCGCTATTTCGCCTCAGGCTACTATAAGCCTACGAACCACCGATACATTTGGTGCATCGGCCAAATTCGAAGGCCGATAAAGTGCTTCGCTTCTGACAGCAGCACTCGACGAACGATGAGGACCTCGACTTTCCCCACAGAAGTAATCAGAACATCTACCAAAGAACTCGCGGAACTAATACAGAAGTACGCGGGCTACGGTGAGATAAAAATTCTTCCAGATGACGATCAAGAGAAGCAAGATTTATGCGCTCAGCATCTGGATTCGCTAGCGAAGTGCAAAATGGAAGTCGAAGAAGCCATTGAATTGCTGCAAATGGATTACGAGATATTGATGGAAAGGATTGAGGAGGTCGAAGCCGAAGCTGCGAAGAAGTTAATGAAAGAGGAATGGATTGCATTCAAAAAAGAGATAAGATTTTTCACAACCTTTACTGACGCTAAGAAGTTTTTCTGTGTCCTGCAAGATCGCATGGCAGATGCTGAGATGGAGTTAGCACAACTGGAACGCCAAAGAAGGTTAACCAGCGCAGGGCCTAACAGGGAAGCATCAAAAGTCACCAAATCCCTACTAGATAGCGAAGAAATCCATGTAGGATTGGCCATGGATAAATCAGATGATTTACATGGAGAGATCGAGGAAAAGACAGCTAAAGTCACGTTTGAAGAAGAATTCACTAAATTGGAGCAAAATGCGATGAAGAGCACTATCAACAATGATCAATATCACTTGGAGCAAAAGTCCTTCCCCATTGCTGGTACTCTTTTGCGGGGGCAGGTCATGACACCTACGGTGCCACGAGCAAAGTTTCCGACAGCTATTTTTGAAGGCACGAACATAATAGAGGTACAATCAAATCCGACTGCCATACAATCCGAGGAGAATGAAAAGCTCTCCTCCACTTCGTGTTCTTACTACTTCGTATTCCGTTGTTTGTTGCTAGTTCCACTGTCTACAGCCTTTCGCCATCGCCTCCCGTCAAGAGCTCTGGACATCCACACTGCCGACGCGACTCGTTCAACTCACCAAATCCCGCTACGAGATCCAGACAAACGCCACCTCGACAACATCCATTGCAATATTCTGACAAAGGAAGCACTTCGATGTATCTAGTCGTTATATTTGTGCTCCATTTCGCTGTTCATTTCCCTCGCTGGCCGGAGTGTGCCGACATTGTCGGCACTTCCTTACAGTCGTATCTTTACTCTCACCGAAGTACCGTAAAGGTCATGCCATAAGCATGACCTGCTGTGATACCATTGAATTATCTTGCTCCGCCTGTTATCGTTAGCATTCTACCACAGCACCCACGCGTGCTAGTCGACTGTTCATAAAGCTCTACAGCTAATGTGTTCTGTATAACACACACCAGGGGGCGCTATTTCGCCTCAGGCTACTATAAGCCTACGAACCACCGATACAGATGGACGGAATCGCCCTTTGGCCCCGAGGAGGTGTGATGTTCTTTAAGGGATTTCAAGAGGTGCCAAGTACTCCTGCTCAGTACGTTGTAGTAATGTAGTTGCCATTCCACCTTTACAGCACCTATCTATTGATGGGCCTTGGGAGTGGCTTGCTACTATATTACCAGCCTAGGTTTGAAAGCGAAATAGGCTTACAAATGCATTAATATTAGTCGCTATTCGTTTCTTCGAAATTGGTTAGAATTTAATCGATATTTGTTCATCGATGAAAAAATTTCGTATTTCCCGAAGTGCAATTTACAGTCTTACACAAACAAGGGAAATTCGTAGTTCAACTCGTTTCTATGAAGCAAAAACTCACCTAGAATATGGCATAAATACAGGGTCTCGATCAACGTCAACTGGTGAGGTAGAAAAATTTGGATCAGGTAGAGTTGAAAGGATGTCATCCCATTGATAGCAATTATTAGGAAATGTACTTGAAGGCTCGTTTCCAACACAGATGATGAACTGCAAATTCACATAATTAAGTTTACACAATAGTGTGAGTTTTGCCTTTGATAATGATGATATCACCAATGATATCGCACAGATTTCCAAGTTGTCACCTTTACTGAAGGGCACTCTCGCACTGCATTCAACACTTTTTCGAGAGATTCGCGATTTGTGAATATCAGTTTGGCACCGCAATCTTGAAATTGTCGCTTGAGCTCATCTAAAAAAGGATTCTGACACGAAGAAGGTTTTTTCTGAAACACAAAATTAGACACTACTGAAGAAGATCGACTCACATTCAGTAGAAATTGCGCTAACTGTGGTAAGAATGCCCCCATTCAACGTTACCCCAAGAAAAATCGTTGCCCATTCCCAACGGTTTGGCAAAGCCGTGCAAGCGACATCTTTCTACAACCCTGCTCAGATAATCGCCGGGGGCAGGCGGTCCGCAAACTCGCGCTTTTCTGCAGGCGGTCAGCAGGATTTCGGGGCGTGGCCAAATCTTCAGCGGGCGGTATTTGCGTTTTCTGCAAGCGGGCATCAATACAAAATCTTCTGCAGGCGCTCGTCAAACAATCTCGTTCAGCGAGCGCTGGCCAAACTTTCAGCAGGCGCTCAGACTCTTTTTACGCAGTTTCGGGCGTACGCCGAGAAAAGATGAGACTCTATGTGGCAGAGGTGCCATCGATGGTTTTATTACCCAAGTTTGGGGTACTTTCTTCCAGCGGAAAGTACCTGAGGGCTGTGCGGTCCTTCAAAAAGGACCGTGCGGCTCTCAATAATTTTGCATGTTCTCGCGGAAAATCCGCGAGAATGCGGCCACTGTGCCGCAACTTATGTATAGAAAAACCGCGATAGATCTTCGAGCGTTCGTCTAAAAATTGGCCAAAATTATTCCAAATTTCTGCAAGCGGACCACAAAAAATCAGCGAACTATTTTTCCGGTGCCCGCTTGCTCAAAATTCGCATGGCCGCTTGCCCCCGGCGATTATCTGAGTGCGTCTGATTTTGGAAGGAAAACAGCAGCAATTATAGGATAGTCGAGGATGTTCCCAAATGAAATCAAACATACATGAAAACCTTTGTCACGAAGGAATGTCGCAAGCGCATAAGCAGTCCGGTAGATCGTACTGTAAGTGATTTCTCGCATAGTCTCAGCACATACCTAGCTAATCATTCATTCGGTTTGAATTTGAGCGCTTTGATGGAATGAATGGCATAGAAAAAACTTACAAATGCCGGCCTGTTCCCATGGTTCTGAATGGCCTCCACTACAGTTTCCGGAAATGGCCTACTTGGTATTGAAATTGGTGGGTAGTCGGACTTGATGAGCTTCTGTAACGAATTCGACCCAAGAACGTCCCTGTGCTGCGTATCCTGCTAGAAATGGAACTGTGAAATGTGGGAAATGCAGAAACGGTAGTTTAAAAAATCAAAATTCTAGATCATTGGCCTGAAAAGAAATCAAAATTCTAGAACATTTGTCTGAAAACAGAGGGACGGAGTAACAAGAACTAGAGCTGAGAGCAGCAGAGACTGAGAGTCTAGACTCGTCAGCGACATTACAAGTTTGTGTATGAAAAGCTTCCATCTCTAAGACATTGAAAAAAGCTTGATATGACGATCTTGACTAAGGATTTGGCAGCAGTTTTTGAAGCCCTGAACGAGCTAGTGCTAAACCCGAACGAAATACCTAACGAGGGAAGGATACTTGGTGACCGTGGCCTTTTGCAATGAGATGCATACCGTTAGATGCATCTTGAAACGCTGATTCCAAATCTATTAGGTCGTGTAACAAGTTCTGTCCCATTTTTTGTTTTAGTTTTTTCTTAACAACATTGACTATACTTGAGATTAAGTGTATATGCTTTTGAAAGCTCTAAGCCAGCTCTGCAGACTCATATGCGTCGTAACGTAGCAGGAAATTGAGAAAGATTTTTATCATTGAAACAAAAAATCCAAAGGGCCGAAAAATCAATTTTCGACATCTTTTTTCCTCCAAATTTTTCTCGATTTTTATTGGTAAAACTTATTAAACAAGCTTGACAACAACCAAAACAGTCTATTAGACTTTTACATTTACTTTATAACTGTTTGCGCATGTTACTTTCCTTCCACCGGATATTTAATGACATTTTTGCAAAAGCCGGCAAGGCAAGACTTTGTTACGACCATAGGTGCGATAGGGGGAACCGGGCTCTCCCCAGGTGAAGGGGGTCTCGGCTGTTCCCGACCTTCCAGGGTGAAGGGGGTATGTGAGTCTAGGGGGGGGGGAGGAAGAGAGAAAAGGTAAAAAAGCGTGGTGTTAAGAGCTCTAATTTGTACCTTATTTAGGCACAAATTGAAAAAAATTTAAAAATTTTCAAAAGAAATTAAAAAATTTTAAAAAAATTGATTATGAAGATCTGTGCTCCTGTTTCACTGCATCAACAAAAAAACGAAAGCAATAATGTTTATCCCAAAAGATGTACAAGTTAGGAACAACTTCATTTCCTGCACATCATCATCAACAATATCACTATCGCTAACGTCAGAGACAACAAATTGGCTGCCTGAAAAATCTTCTTCTTCCTCCAAAAGGTCATCGGAGTAGAAGTAGAATTGCGTGCAAAAGCGTTCTGAGTCGAAAATGGATTTGAAACTTTCTTCTTCTTCTAAGCGCTTTTGTGATTTTTTTCCTGGCCCTCTGGTAGCACCAGGAAGTCAGCAGGTAGGTGACCAGTTTCTTCATACCATCTTTTAGGATATTTCAAAAAGTCATACGGTAACAGCCTGTCTGGAACACTTATACCAATCCTTTAAATGAAGTTTTTAGATAACAATGTGTTTAGTAGAAGGTTGACAAATCTTAAGTATTTGCTTAGATGCTCTATCGTTGTACGACTTCGGCGTTGTGTTCTGATAACAGAGTAGATAGAAAATTTCTTTCTCCACCTCTGCCGTGCTAGTCGGAATGGAAACTAGCTTTGCTAGTGGGTCCATCAGATTTTTGCGGTAAGTAATGGGAAAAGAGCCAGATCTCATATGCTTTCGCAACACGGGAAGGAAATAGTGCATACTTCTGGGCCTTGTCGAACTCTGGCTTCAACTCCTCTGGCATACGTCCTGTTAGCTGATTAGAAAGCTGCTCAACTTCTTCTTTAACAGCATCTGCGGAATAGCCGAAAAAAGGAGGCACTATGCTGCGCGTTGGTTTTTTTTTTTCAATATCATAGGTCATATTGTCACAAGGCGAATAACTTTCAAAAGCATATAGCACAGAGTTGGGTTCGCACTCCAGCCGGGATCTAAGTGCAGTAACTATGCTTTGTACTAACACCTTCCTTTTGTTCATATCCATGTTTGTGAATTTAGCAGCCTTGAATTCTTCAGCAACCTGAAGATCAGCAATAGACTTCCTGGACATTTCCTCATTGAAACTAGACAATCTGCTTGGATTCCTTATGCAGGAAATCAGAAAGTTTCGCTCAATTGCCAACTCTGTATCAATGTCGGCAACATTTTTGTCGGCGTAAGATTCGCCTTTTGCCTCTGCCTCGCTGTTGAACTGGAACACATGCGAGTCATCTGCGATTTTGTAAAGTATTCTGTCTGCCGTTTCCTCTTCAAACTGCCAACCTTTCCAAAACATTGAGGGATGTTTCAATAGGGTGCGTAGCAAGTGGTACCCAGGCAGCCGACTGCTGCCGCAGTCAGCCGCCGCAGATGGTACAGTAATTATGCTCGTCGTCTAAACTTCTGCCGAGAGGTTTTCTCGCACCTCGCCACTCTGAGGTGCGATATCAGCCTCAGTAAAGCGTGATATTCTGGACATCTATATCGTTTTAAACAGCAGAAATTTCATGTTATTGAAAAGATGCAAATAAACAAAGGTAAACAGAGGAGGATTTTTTAAAGAAAGATGATCACTAATCAAACTTCTTCGAAAACTCAAAGGAAGCAGAAGCTAAAAAATTTAGGAATTCTTAAATTTCTAGAGATTTTCTTCTCGCTTTCACGTCGAAGAACGGACGAAAACAGTTACAGGAAAATGTCATGAATGTAACGGTAAGAAAATTCTGTCAAAATATCATTTCATATGTACATACTGATAAACAGAACTACAGTCATTGGACATTTATTGTATTAGGTTGGCACATAAGTTTTGCAACTTTTCCCATAACTTTTTTCCTATTTTATGCAGCAATCACATGTGACATGATGTAGATCGTGATGTAAGCTGCAAGTCTGCGCAAACCGTTTGATTTTTGATAACATAGTACAAAAAATCTAAGCAATTTTTAAAAACTGCTGAAAATCGAGGTTTTACGATTTTTTGGCAAACATGAAGCCTACGAAACCTGATATAAACATATGAAAAAGCAGCAGGCAGCAGGCAGCATGTAGCTGGAAGTTGGCACATTGGAATCAGTGAAAAAGAAATGAAATTTAAACACAAATTAAGGTGGGGCGCCTTTGAGAAGTTGAACAAGTCAAATGCGTCAAGTTTTGAAGGCAATTTGCCAATATCTAAGCTGCGAAAAGTCAGAATTCGCTATAACTTTCACTACAGGGTAATCCTATGCGGTAAACACGAACATCATATTCATTTGTCGCTAAAATGAAATTCATCTTTTGATCTCACGAACGAGGCCATTTCATGCGAAACGGATCTCATTTTTGTGATCAGCATGTCAAATAAGCCCTACAGGCCAAGTTTCAGCAAAATCTGATGCATTCTAAAATTTTTCTCATAGTACCGTAAACCTACCGTAATCCTCACATAAGGCGGTAAAATTCGGCAGAAATGTGTGCATTAGAAGCGTACATCATATTCCTTACATTGCCAAAAAATGAATGCGCTACGCTCAAATAGACAAAAGTTATATAAAAAGTTGCATTACTTATGTGCTAACCTAATACTTTGATTTCAAAATGTGCAACAGAAAAAACTGTTTGATCTCCTATTTTTGTAATAGTTTGTAATTTGAATATTCTCCGGTGTAGTTTTGTACTCGACTGCATGGTTCTCAATGAATATGGCATTTCTCCGCTGTTCAAAATGATATAGATGTCGAGGATATCACGCTTTCATTGACCCACTCAATTTGATTGTCCTACTTTGCCTCGCTTGATCACTATGTATGAAATAATCATTTTCCCGAGCTTTCTTACCGTTATATCCATAACATTTTCCCGTAAGTTTCCATCCGCTCTTCAACGTAAGCGAGAAAAATTTAGAAATTTAAGAACTAAAATTTTCCGCTTCTGCTTCCTTTGAAGTGGATTGATTTTGTGATCATTTTACTTTAAAAAAATTCATTTGCATGTTTATCAAAAAACATGAATTTTCTTCTGTCTGAAATGATATGGATAACAAGGATATCATGCTTTACTGAGGCTGATATCGCACTCAGCGCGGCGAGGTGCGAGAAAACCTCTCGGCAGGAGTTTTAGACAACGAGCGTAATTACTGTACCATCTGCAGCGGCTTTGCTGACAGCTTTGGCGGCAGGCTGCGGCAGCAGTCGGCTGCTTGGGTACCACTTGCACGCCTCCCGTTTCAATAACATGTTATTCTTCTAAATGTCTTAAAGTTTTTGATTCATTGAAACCAACCATTCTCTACAAATTAGGTAAGGTGAGTCTAGAGCGTTTTCACGAAAGTGACCTTCTTCAGCACTAGGTTTACAGAGTATAGATTCCAGAAATCGGCGGGTATTTGTGTGAAGGTGTGGAAATTCACCAATCTCCCATAGTTTTTTGAGTGTGTGCTAATAATGATGGCATAACTGTCAATCAAGAGCGCATTTTTTACCAGATAAACTTGAACATATAACAACGATAAGCGCGCTTAAATAGACGCGTTCGCTCAAGTTCCCGTTAGTGCTGATAACGATGTCAATCCACAGCACATTTTTTACTATTTACTTGCTCCACCCCGCTCTTATTAGGTCGTCCCGAAAGTTTTTGCACATGAATTTCAAAATTCATAACTTCTGATTTTTCCAACCGATTTGACTGCTTTCACTTTTATGTGAAAGGGTAAGTCATGCTCTTTATAATGACATCTCAGCTGCTTAGTAATGGTCATCTGTTGCATAGATAGGAGCGATAGAAGAAAAATGGTAAAAATTTCAATTTTCTGTATAGGGTCATAAGAAATCGGAGACTTGCAACAAAAATCGGAGCAGTCAGTACTGTAGGTTCTTTCACCAGCTCTTTCTAACAGTGCAAAGTTTGCGCCGATTGAGTGTCTCCATGAAAAGTTATGATTTCCCTGAAAAATGCCAAAATAAATCAAATTCGCCTTTTTGTACTGCTTGCTCGGAAATTATAACTTTTCATGGAGACGCTCAATCGGAGCAGACTTTGCATTTTTAGAAAGAGCTGGTGAAAGAATCTAACATACCGACTGCACCGATTTTGTTGCAAGTTTCTGATTTTTTATGACCCTACACAAAAATTCAAATTTTGAGTGATTTTGTTTTGAGCTTCTATCTATGCAACAGATGACCATTACTAAGCAGCTGGGATGTCATTATAAAGAGCATGTCTTACCCTTTCACATAAAAGTGAAAGCAGTCAAATCGGTTGGAAAAATCAGAAGCTACGAATTTTTGAAAATTGTGCGCAAAAACTTTCGGGTCGACCTATACAATGTGTTGGCTTTTATGGGTCACCGGAGCAAATGATTTTTAGAGCCGGGAAGCAAAGAAGCCCTAACATGCTGTATACCATTCGAAAGCTGAGATCATGGAGAATCGACGTAGACCGTCGACTTTTTCCTAGGTCTTCTGTGCCGCGAGATATGAGGGATTTTATGTGCTTCAAAAATTAACTGATTTTGTATCCTCACTTTCTGCTCTCCAAATGAACGCTACGAGGATAAATAAATAACATAAATAAACATAAATACCATTTATTTTGTAAATTTATGAGTGTACTTGTTGCTTGAGGTACTTAGCCTGCAAAACCTTTTAATAACGATTTTTATCATATTCTCAGAGTACAATACCAATCTCAGCCCAGGTGAAGGGGGTCATCGGGAGTTTGGCCTCAAAGTGAAGGGGGTAAGATCCATCACTCCCCCTATCGCAACTATGGTTACGACGATGTTGCCGTCTCGCGTACCCAAGCTGTGTGGCTCCCAAAATTCGAATTTTGAGTAATTAACCTATGAATTCGATAGTTTGAAGCCATAAACCATCCCTTCTGTCTTTTCTGGATGATCCGCCTACTGTCTCCCCTCAGGATGCCTTCAGATGATGTCCAACACCAACGTTGAAAAGGCGTTAGAAAGAAGACTTTTCTAAAGTCCACAAAAATGATTTTTGAAAAGTTTCAGCACTTCTGAAGCGCAATAGAAGCTAGAGCATTCTTTGCCTAAGTGTAGCAAATTCTTCGAGCTTATTCCTAGGTATTCTGACTGATTAGGAAGGCGACGTAACGTAGTTGTCGAAAATGGACTTTTTCCCTGTTTGATTTTCCAAATTTGACGCTGTAAAACTTTTTCAAATCCTCTGATGTAGAAAACCGGGATGGAAGTTTTAGTAGAGAAGGCTTAGAGCTTTCAAATGCATACAAACAATTTGCAGAACATCGCGCAAAATATTGAGAAAAAATCGAAAGAAAAAATGGGACAGAACTTATTACACAACCTAATATGTTCATTATCTGCTGTGCGACTCTCTGAACGAAATTATGGACTTCTTTCCATATCGATTTTACGAAATTTAGCCAGTCAGAATCGTCAGTATCCACGCTTTTTGGACTCCGAATTATCGGAGACCGTTTCCCTGAGCTTAATGTAAAGCTTTACTTTATTTGGACGCTCATTTGTAGTGCGTAAGCGAAAATTTTAACGATATTGGTGAATACTGCATCAAAAACAGTGCAAATTTTTGTGGGAAGAAATGTTCAAAACTTCTTTCGGAAGAGGCACAGCGGATACTGAAAGCAGATTTGGAATCAGCGCTTCAAGATACATTTAATGGTGTACGTTTCATTTCAAAAGGCCACAGTCACCAAGTATCCTCCCCTTGTAAGATGCCAAAAATTTACCCTCTCATGGTAAGTTTAGTAGAAGACAGAATAGCTTCAAGATCTGAAAGGGAAGAAAAATGCAAAATACGTGAGAATTTCAACCTCTACTAACTGTTTGCCTAGACTTCAGAAATAACACCCTAGAATAGCTATGATCTCTGAATGACTAATGAAGCAAATCGACATTATTTTCTAAATGTTCCTAAAGTAATATTTTGGACTTTTTCTACCTTCGCTAGTGGCAAGGTAAGGATATTTGGAGCTTTGTAGAAACGACAAAACTATAGCAATTTGAAATTTGGTTCAATCCTAAAGAACGTGCAGCATAGTGTGATCTAAATTCTAATCCTTGCGAAAAACAATAGATTTCAAAAATGACGAATGGAAAATCAAAGGAAAAGTCAAGGTGTTAATGATGAGGATGCCAAGTGAGGTGTCAGTTGATACTGAAGATAAAAATATTTCTTCTGAGAATTCTTTATACTATAGTCAAATTTTGGATGAATTATCTTTTAGGGAACTGCTCTGAGACCATAAATATGTATCACTGATCAGTTGTACGGCGATGAATCCAGCTTTAGAAAACACAATAAAATCTCACTTGCCTATCTCTCCTTCTATTGGTAGCTGTCTTAATATAAAGTAACTGAGACAAACCGGAGACCATTACGATATGTTGGAGTAATTGTAAAATCACTTACTCCTCTCATGGTGCTGGCCAAAGACCTCCGCAAGAATTGCGTCGTCCTCCGTGATGTGATTCGCAGCAAGCCCATCCTGAGTCCTTCTACAAATAAACAAATGTAGCAAAATAAAAACTTTGAACTTAAAGAATTGCAAATGTGATGAGATTTACCTGTAAGACTCATAGGAGGATCCAATACTCGCAGGATAAGTGGTCGCATGAGATCGTGGACAGATGCTGTGTTTGTGGTGCGAACCAGTAAATAACAGCTGCTCCTAATATGCTGAATGTGATCAGTAATTGCACTTTAACTCCAAGATTATCGAGTGAATGCTATTCATGTAGACCTAATCATGTTTATGGATGTAGGTGATGCCAAAAATGCAATCGTAGTTTTTGCTCTGAAGAAATGGCAGGCAATAACGCCTACAATGACAATGAGAGGCCAAAAATCGGCATAGATTCTCTTTCACTACGGAATCTCTACCAAGGATCAAGAAGAAGAGCAGTGTTGGTGGCAGCTATATTTTTTGCAAAGGGTAGGCCACTCATTTAGTTCAACAATTTCTCCGCTTCAGAACATGAGAAAGGTGCTTTTTCAGGGCTGGACTATTGTATTGCTTTTGCACATTTTCCTTGGACTGCTAAGCAAGTAAAGTTAAAGCAGTTTTCGTACTAGAGATCGGATTTCCTTCTCTAAATTTTGCCAAACTTCCAAGGTCAAAAGTGTCAAAACATACCTAGGAACAAAAATCCACTTCCTCTATAGATTTACCCACACAGCAAGGGCAACACACATGAAAGACCTCGCATTTCTACAAAACGTAGATAAGTCAATGGTTTTTCTCCCTTTTGTGACCGTCTGAGCAGCATCAGATCTTCTAGCTCTACTAATGTTTTGATGTTATTCTATTATTATTGAACATTTTGTAAAGGACGAGAAGATTTAAGCAGTGAACTTTTGCAAAGAAACCTCAGTTTGCAAAAAAGTTTACATACCCAGCCTCTCGCAAGTGAAAAAAATTTTTTTTCAATCATGTCATTAAAGACTTCTTGGAGAAGAAAATGTCTCAACATTGCATCAAATTTTTGGGAATTTAAAAAGACTCACGCTTTGCTCTTTTTTGTTAAACTGAATGACTGGATTTACGAACAATCACAACAGTGGTCAGTGGCTAGCGAGGAGAGGGGAAGCGAAAAAGTGATGCACGAGTTAAAAACCTGCAAGAAAGCTGTTTCTACCAGAAAATGACTAGAAGTTGTTTTGCTAAGGTTGTTTTGCTTTTAAATCAGCCCGTAAAAGGGTTTTTTGGAGAGCGTTGCCGCCATCTTGTGATATAAGCGTTGTGTCCAAAGAAATGCAAATGCATCCCAAAAGTTTTCCGGGAGGAAGGGTGTGAAGGGGGAAGGTTAACCACATTTCTTCAATGTAAAATTCTGTCGCACCCTCATTCTCGCGAGAAATTCTTCGACCACCACGGCCAATGACGTATAAACTTTTATCACCTTATGGTGTACCATTTGATTCAACTGGCTTGGCTTCGGGGCGGGGCTTCTGACCTAATTAAGGTTAGGTTCACAGAGCACTCGCGTGAGAGAGACGCAGGTGCGTCGCGGGCGCGAGCGGCCTGAATTAGGCCACAGAGCCCCGCCCTGCTGAAGCCAAGCCAATTGAATCAAAGGTTATGTTCTGTTTAAAATATGGCCCTCTCGAGACGCGCTGATTTCGCTTATTTTACGTGAGCAACATATGACGTAATGCATCACAGATCTTCGAAAAATCTCGCTCAACATTCGTTTTTGAAAATTCCAAGACTAAGGAATAAACACAGTTATTTTTGTTTTTTTCTTCTTTCAGTAAATTCCTTATACGACTCCAACCACACCCGATTAGAAAGCCGGGGAGAATGTAAACAGACACTGCTCTAGACCTTTCCTATTGCTACTAAAAATCAAAATACTTTCGGAAAAGGTCCGTTCACTTCACGAACTCTTTTCATGTTGTCTCGAATAGGTTTGCCTCCCCAGTCGAAGAAAAGTGCAACTTGCAGTTCAGAGTACCTCAATTCTCTAGCAACCATGTCCTAATAAAGAACTTTACTTGCAGCTATCAAGCTGAACAGTAGCAGCAACTATTTTGGGCAGGTGGGGATTTGGCTTTCCAAATGCGAAGTGGTCGATGTGAATTTTCAAGAAGTGTGTTCGTATAATTTACTGCAACCTTCGAGAGGGGCGTCCGCAAATTTTCTTTGTACCTATGTCAAATGGGGTAAACATTGATCAAAATCAGAAGAGGAAATGACCCCATAGTTATATAGTTTACCATTTTTATGTTCTTAGGATCAGGGCTCGGTACGAGGGGCTTGGGAAAATGCAAAAAACGAAGTTTTCCTTGACTTTCTCAAACTTTTACGAAGTGCCCTTTGACCCTTAACCTTAAACGTATTAGAAACTTTTCGAAACATCGATTAAAGAAAACTTCACAATTCTTGTGTCTTTTTGGCCTCAACAACGATATGCAGCTTCCTTACAAGCCACCTGTGCCAAGCCCTGCCTAGATGGACTTGACTTGAGGGCCGGATGAGAGGCATCCCTTATTCTCATCGATTCATGTTTTTTGCAAAGCGCTGCTTGCCAATGCAGAGTGCAAGCAGTTTGTCTTTGGAAAAGGATTAACTATGATGACACGGGGAAAGACATGGAGATTTAGCGAGATCGGAAAAGCATTACATAGAACGAGCATGTAAGGCTATTATGAATGGATGCAAAATTCGCAGGGCAAGCGAGCATTCTTGCCTAGACCTAACGAAGATTTTTGTTTTTCTAATTGCGAAGGCTTCCTTGACCATTTGTGCTCCTTTCTAAACTACTTGGAGCTTAGTCCCTGGTGTTTACCCAAGTATGAACCTTGTTACTTTCGTACCCTGAACTAGTGATCTAACCACACAACAACCTCGGTTTCTGCACGTCGTTTCTTGATTTTTTGCAAACACAGATTTTTTGCATATACATTGTTAGTTTACTTTCCATTTTCGTACCTTGGTATGTTTGGAAATCGATTACTCGCTGTGAACTTGATATAAGAAAATGTCATCAAATCTTCGGCGCATATAAACGAAAATCAAGTGTTGTGCTTTTCGATTACTTGTCTGGTCCGGATCTTTGTTCTATTTGCTTTCCACGTTTGCAGCAGGCTTTTTGTAATTTACAGACTCACCAATGGTTTTGGGATAATTGGCAGATGTGCCGACATTCACGAAGAGGCGGTGGAGGGGTGGAAGGCGATTTGGAAAATAGGATGAAAGATAAGAATGTTAACATTGCTTCAATTTTCAGTCTTCTTTACAGACGCTGAGGTTTTTAAAAGCCTCATACGCTTTGAAATAGAGAATTTGTGCTCCTTAGAGACTAATGGATCAGTTCATAAAACACAAAAAAATTGACTCATGCGCTATATTAGGCCATTAGGCCCCCTCTGCTTCTAAAATAAGTTGCGAATTTTTATACTGAGCTGCATGAGTATAAAACGTTACATATCACCTATCCTTATCCATGTATAATAAAATAGATAAAATTCGGAAATATTATTGTGATACTTCACTTGAGATAAAAAAACATCTCGGTTGACTCTTTCAGAATTTCTCTGGTGTCTCCCATTCAAATGAATTCTTGGAATGCTACTGCACATTTTTTACTTGAAGATGATTTATCATGGACTTGCAAGATATCTTGCCGAGAGCTGAAAATAATGCCCAAGAACGAACAGAAAGATTAGACGCAGACAACTGCAAGTGTATCCGTTTCGGTGGTGACAAACAAAATGTTATGAATTTTTTGGAAAATTTATTGTTGGTAGTCTTGCTGTATCAGCTGAGGTCACTGATTGCTGCACTTGTGCTCATAAATAAACAACGCCAAGGACGGCCTCGCATTCTTGCAGGGGATCACCTTGGAACTGACTTACTTCTTTTATAACCTTGGTCAGCTGTTGCCACCGCTTTTTATTCTGTTAAATATGTTCATAGTCATGGACTAAGAGAAGAGCATTTGGATGGCCATTAGGTCTTCTTTGAAAGTCTCGGATTCGATTACATGACTCATATTTCCTAGAAAGCTTGAACATTCAATATTCCAAACGTCCCATCGTATTCCATCCAGAGCCTCCAAATCAATGTTTGCTGTTTTTATATTTCCATGCGACTCTCTAAAGTGAGTTCTTATTTGGTCTTGCATTATCTCTGCCATTCTCACATAGCCTTCCTTTGAGAGCTCAGCAACTCACATGACAGCACATAGGCACACTCCTCAGCAAGAAAAAGTACTTGCGAGAAAATCTCCACAATATGCTTTCCAAGTCAAGTCCTTGTGTTGGTCCATTATAAGCACAAACTCATTTTCAGGCGAAAAAACGTTCTGCTAGTAAAATTTGTTGTTGAAGAATAATTATATGTGCACAAGTTCTACAAGCAATAACTTTCCGTGAATAGAGGCAGTCGATGAGTCTAATGTGGTAGATGCTAGAGTAAAGCAAGAGCTAGCAGAACTCAACCACCAGTCACTTTTCTCCCCTCAAGTGTAAAATTTTTATAATTTGAAGGCTGGCATACATACATATTCTAAGAGGAGGTTGAAAAATGGCTTCAATTTACTTGATCAAAAGAATCTCTCGGCACCGAAAATATATGGGCACTTTAAGTTGTAGAGTAATCTTTGAAATTTTCTTCATCAAATCATGATTGCTCCATGTGCCTGTCAGTTCTTATAAGGGAGCATTGGATGTCAAATAAGACAGGTTTGAAGAGGAACGCTGTGAAGTTTCTGAGTTCTTGCTTTTTCTTTAACAGGATTTTTTCGCAAGAGCTGGTAGTTCTCTGAAATCTTAAGAACTGGTCAACACATAGAAAATAAGACTATGGAAAAAATTGGTTTGGAAGAAGTCATAGATTTTGAATCTGAAAATCCAAGTCGGACAGAACTTATGTAGCAGCCCCTGATTGTTAATCTCAAACCCCTTTCACAGCATTTTCCCTATTCCGACTGCAGTACAATCATCAGATTTTTCCAAAGCCACCATTCGTAAGCTTCCTTTTCTCGTGATCGTTTTCCGTTCCATTCATAACTTCCGTGCGTCATGGCTTCGTACATGCGAGAAAAAGCGCTACGAGCGATCAGCTGTTCGTGCTAGAAGTGTTTATATAACAAAGCTACAGCGACTAATGC